AAAATGGATACACGACATAGATATAAGGAGAGAGATTACAAGAAAATTTGAAAAACATGGAACATATTACTTAGCAGACTTATGGATAGGAGAATAATTTATGAAAAAAACAAGAGCTAGAGAGCAGAGTGAGGTATAAAATGAATAATTTTGATTACATTAAACTAAAAAGGGGTTGTACAAATAAAAACAATGCAGCCAAGATCAGAAGGAAAGCAGATAACTCATATCTCAAATATAGAAAGAACTAAGTCAGATTTATAAGAATACAAATCATTCCCCAATTGATAAAAGGCCAAAGGATATGAACAAGTAGTTTTCCAATGAAGAAATCAAAACAATTTATAGTCATATAAATAATACTCTAAATCACTGTTGTTTAGAGAAATGCAGACTAAAAACTAGAGATATCATTCTATGTCTATCAGATTGGCTAAAATGATAGAAGAGGAAGTGACAAATATTGGAGGTGATATGGAAAAATTGGGACACTGATTCACTGTTGGTGGAACAGTGAACTGATCCAACCATTTTGCAGAGCAATCTGGAATTATGCCCAAAGAATTATGAAATTGTCTATACCATTTGACCCAGCAATACCACTACTGAGTCTATTTCCAAAGAGGATCAGGGAAAAAGGAAAAGAACATATAGGTTCTAAAGGAAAAGAACCAACATGTTCTAAAATATTTATAGCAGCTCTCTTTGTGGTGGCAAAGAACTATAAATTGTGGACATGCCTGTCAACTGGGGAATGACTAAACAAGTTGTGGTATATCATTTTGATGGAATACTACTGTGCTAGAAATGATGAGCTCAAAGATTTTAGAAAAACATGCAATGACTTGTATGAAATAACAAAGAGAGAAATGAACAGAACCAAGAGAACAAGAATGTTGTATACAGTAACAGCAATATTGTTTTAAGAACAACTTTGAGCAACCAAGTCATTTTGACTATTATAAATACCCAAATTAACTACAAAGGACCTGTGAAGGAAGATGCTATCTGCATCCAGAGAAAGAACTGATAAATAGATGCATAAAATGATTATACAAATATAAATATGTGTGTATATTCATGTATGTATATGTGTACCTGTATGTATATACATATATGTGTATGGGTGTGTATTCATTGAACTTGAATTTTAATGAAAACGGTCAATACAACAAAATTGAGATCTTTAATCCAGGCAAGTGAGTTGCAGCTTGGGATGCCACACAGCAAGTGCTAGGGTACCCAAGGAGGGGACTGGGAACAGGGTTTATAGGGTACTAAGGCAGAGAGGATGACAAGGCTGCAGGTGGGAGGGGTTAGACATCTCAAAGTTTAACAAGGTAAGCTGTTTTACATAACAAGCAAAAGTCCATTAAGAAAGGTGGCAATCTGGGGGATGGGGGGAGTTTGGGAGGTCTACAACATAACCAGAGGCTGGAAATGACACAGTCTGATCAACCTCAGACAATTCATTGGCCTGGGAATGGGGACCAAGACAGCTTCAGTCAGTTCTTAGTCAACTGAGTGTGTGTGTGTGTGTGTGTGTGTGTGTGTGCATTCGCATATGTGAGCGTGCACCCAAGCACATGTATATATATATATATATATATATATATATATACACACACACACACATATACATACACATATTTGTGTCTAATGGTGGGGGGGGAGAAACAAAGGGAAAAAAATATATCTCTTCTATACATCCCCTTTTCTTTATTTACACATGGTATAGACCCTAATCACATCAAGCCTAGACTACTGGCACACCTGGGCCACCACTCCTTAATTCCATCCAGATCTTCTCATTGTCTTTTTTTTGTATATAAGTATCAATCTCCTGCCATCAAGCCCCAGATTCATTGGGAATACAGCCTGATCTATTGGTGTTACAATAAACCTCAGTACCTTGACTGAAAGAAGGCTTGAGTGCTTGAATTCTTTCTAGGCAGACATGCCCAGTACCCTTACAGCCAGTACCCCAAACTACATCACCTCCATTCAATAAACTACAATGCCTCCCTATTACCTCTAGGATCAAATATTAAATCCTCTCTTGGGCTTTTAAATCCCTTCACAACCTAGTGCATTTCTACCTTTCAGTCTCATTACACATTTCTTCCCCTCTATGTACTTGAAAAACCAGTCAAACTAGCCAACTTGCTGTTTCTCACACATAACCCTCCATTTCCTTTCTGTGCCTTTCCACTTGCTCCCTCTGTCCTTGGAAAGCTCTCCCAACTCCCAACTACTTGGCTTCTTTCACAATTCAATTGAAATCCCATCTTCAAGAACTGGTAAACATAAATATGTATAAAATAATTTTATATATATATATATATATACCTATTTGTGCCTAATGGCAGCCATCTCTGGGGGGGAGGGGAAGAAAAAAGGGAAAAAAAAAAGAAATTTACATGATAACTTTATTATATATTTAAGAGGAATAGCAAGTTGTACATAATAGATTTGCAGTTTTATGTGCAATCATCTTTTTTTATTATTATACTATGTTAGGGAAATGCTTGTATTGTTTCATAAATTAAAAATAAAATAATTTTTTAAAACTCCATCTTCTATAGTGTGTCTTTCTTGGTCTCTCCCTTACCCACTCACCCTTCCCTTCCCGATTCCAAATGATTTCCTTCTGAGATTATTTTCCATACATATTTATATTTATATATAATCACTTATATGTTCTCTTTCCATTTCGAACATGTGCTCCTTGAGGACAGGAAAGGCATTTTTGCTTTTCTTTGTATATACAGTGTTTAGCAAGGTGCTTTGCTTAATAAAACAATAAATATTTGTTGTGTGACTGACTAGCTCAGAAGCATTCTCATAGGAAAGGATTAGTAATCACATCACTTCAACCTGATGTATTATAGAGTTTCAGGTGGTCTGAAGATTTTATCTCAGAACAACAGTTGAAGCAACAGGAAGCTGTTGAAGAGAGGCACATTAATCAATCATTGCACTCTCTCAGTGAATGGAGCAGCTGGCTTTTTAGATGGTGAAAAAGCTGTAACCAGTTTCCATAGTGGACCTTGTTTCAGATGACCCTGAAAATAGAGCTGATGACCATCTGGAATGTAAAAAAATGTTTTTTAGAGAACAAAGGAGAAGTTGGTCTGGACAATGGCAGTGTGATGTCTTTTGTAGAAGACATTGGCAGCTTTGCAGTGTCAATGGTGTGAGTTGCCCCTCCAATACATATCATCCCATCTCAATGTGTACATCCTGGGGGGAAGTGAGGGGGGAGAGAAGAAAAAAAAGGGAAAAAGAAAAAAAAGAAATTTACATGATAACTTTATATAATCATACACACAAATATACACCTATTTGTGTCTAATGGTAGCCATGGGGAGTTGGGAGGGTGGGAGTGGGGGTAAATAGAAAGACCTTGGACGCGTTTGCAGTGTGGATGCATCATCCCCACTTCTAATTCCAACCGATGTCCATCCACTCTTCTCATTGAGTATGTATGTACTCATGGAAACTCAATTTTTATGGGAAGAATGTTATATTATTACTTGATTTAATTAAAATACCTCTTACATACTGTGTTGTTATAGCTGACTGGTAAAAGTAAAATCTTTTTTTGGCGGGGGGGGGGGGGGGTTGTCAGCTATAGTTTGTAAAAAAAAAAAACAAAAAAAACTCACCCTCCCCAACCCCAAATATTTAGAACTTAGGATGACTAACTAGGGGCTTAGAGTAAGAAAGACCCTGTGGGGCACATATGGATCATAAATTTGGAGCTGGAAGGACCTTAGTATATATATTTAGTATAATCTCAACATTCTACGGAGGAGTTAACAATCTCAGAGAAATTGGGACTTGGTAAGGTTGTGGAGGCAGTAAATTGCTGAGCTAACTTTTGAACCCAAGTCTTCCTGACTCCAAATTCAGTACCCTTTCCACTTCGCCTATAGTCCCTGCCCTGAAGTTTATTGCACACTATTTTAACTGCATTATAACTGAAAAGAGGTAGCCTTCTGATGAGCTAGACTGAAGGGAAACTGTTGAAGAGGCCCACCCTAAAAATGAACTGGGGGCAAATCCAGCAGTTTTGGAAATTAAACATTAACAGTTATCCAACACGTTTAAACTACTCTTAAAGTGTTTATATAGTACTTACTATATATAGCATACTATATATAGAATATTGCTTTTTGTTAAGAGAAATCTGCCTATCCTCCCTTCCAACTGCGTCCTTTTAATATACATCTGTAAATAATATACACAACCTGTTTTGCTTAATATACTTAGTCCAGGTCTTAGCTGTCAACTCTGTTTAGGGTTAAGAAAATTCTTTGTCTTTCCACTTCGTACTCTTTCGCTGAAATTTAAGGCGATTTCTTTCTTCCCAGGGGATACAACGAGAGCCAGGCTCTCCTTTTAATTACACTTGTGTCCATTACTTAAGGCTCTCTTTAATCCAGGGGGTCAGGTAAAATGAAGTGTAAATCTGTCTGCGAGCAGTCAGAAAAATGTATCCTATCTCCAGGGGATAGCTGCCAGACTTCGCTCAGGGAATGCAGCTCTCTCAGCCAAAAGCGAAGGGGGTCTTGAGTGTGCCATACCTTTTCTAAAAAAAAAAACAAACTGTAATTGTTGGTTGACCTATTTAAAAGAAAAGACTCCCGAGCAGGGCGGTGGCTTGAGCAGAGGGGATTCCAATTTCTCCAGCCAAACCACCCTCGGGCTGTTGGTGCCTTTTCTCACTCGCGGCCGGCGGGCACTTGCAGCCCTGCTCTCCACCACCTGGGTCCCCAGACCCCAGGAGGGTGGTCCCGGGGCGCCGGCGCGGGGCTCGCCGCGCAGGGCGAGAAAGCTCTGCAGCGCGCTCAGACCTTGAACCCTCGAGCACAGGCGAGGCGTTAAAGCCCAGGCTCGGCAACCCGAGCGGAAGTGACGCCAGCTTCACCTGCTCGCCCTAGTGCGGGCTGGGAGAGGGAGAGGGCAGCGGCTGCGAGGTGTGGGTGAGCCGGGAGGGCCGGGGGAGTGCGGACCGGAGTGAGGGCAGCCTGTGTGTGTGTGTGTGCGTGTGCGTGTGCGTGTGCGTGTCCGCGGCCGGAGCGCAGATCCCGGGCCGCCCCTCGCCATGAAGCTGCTCTTGGGCGTCGCGCTCCTGTGCTGGACCGCGGGTGAGTAGAGGAAAGAGGATGGATCCCCACTGGATTCCTGCAGGTCCGGGAATCACCCCGCCCGTGTTCACCCTGGGTGCAATGGGGCGGAGAGACAAAGGACTGGGACTCCGTACCCGGGGTAGCAATGAAGCGGCTTGAAGGGGGTTTTGCGAATGGGGCGTGTAGGTGCTATGGGTCCTTTACGTGGTGATTGGGAAAATCATCGGGAGGTGCCCCCGGACCTCGGGGCTTGTTTGTTGGTTTGGGGGAAGACAGCCTGGTGGGAGAGATAAAGAGGCCCCGAGGGAGCCATGAAACAAAGAAATTATCGAAATGCATCGGTCTCCTAGGGGTTCAGGATTGAACTCCTACTGCAGGGAAGCTGAAATGGTGTGACCACCCTCTCTTCTAGGGCTGGTTCCCAAAATGGGTGGTGTGTGTAATTGATGTGTTTGGCGGGGGAAGGGAAACTGAGGGGTGGGGGGGATGAACTAGCCTGGGAAGGGACTTTTCCGACACCGCCACCTCTTTGCTTTCTCTTCCTAATTTGCTCCTATCTTTTTTTCTTCTCCTTCCTTCAGTGGTATCGATGCATTTCCACTGGTTTTCTGTTTCTCTGGCCCACTTTTGTTTGTCATTTTATCGTTTCCGGCCTGGGACACCTGTATTTTAAGTCCTAGAAGGTGAAATTGCAGATATTTAACGCTTGCCGTTTTTAAAAGGTCTCTGTGACCTGGTGGCACCTGTGATCCACTAGTTTTTTTAGAGCAAGGTACAGAGTAAACATTAGCAGGAGTTAGTGTAGATTGTGAATGATCTAAGCGGGAACCATTTCTTCCAAACAAAATCAAATGGAGATTTCCTGCAAAAGGATTAGTTTCTGTAGGGGAAAAAAAAGGTATCAATGCATTAAAGAAGAATGGGTTGTTTTATTTCTTAATTTCTAATTAGTAAAGTTCTTTTGGATAAAATGCCATGTGGGATTTAAAAATTTTTAAAGCACTTTATGCAGGATTTTTTTTGTGGAGGGAAGTATAATATCTGCATATTATTATATACCCATATATATACACATATATGTGTGTATTTGGAACAGAGGTAGACCTAGCATTTTGTTTTTATTCCTGTGGAAGCAGTGTTTTTTGGTGCCAACTCTTTTGAAAATAAAATGGTTCAGTTTATTTTGTCAGACTTCCCTATTTCACAACTTTGTGATTTGTGTTTTGCACAGCACCTGGAAGATTAAATGTTAACTGTATTTTGCAGCAGAATTGGGATGGCACTTTCCGTTTCCTGTTGAAATGTGAAATCCATTGTTGCTGTCATGGCTGTGAATATTACTCATGGCATGGAAATTTTATTTTGAAAGTAATTACTGGCTTGAAACTTTACCGCTATCTGGTTTTTGTTACCTAAAGTTGACTTAAATTGTTTGGTAAAACCATAGACTACTCATTTTTGAAATAGCTTTATTGTTTTTTCTGTATCTCTTGGGAGAGTGTTTAGGTGAAAGCAGTCACATTTGGAGGATTGAAATGGAGAAATGGACAGATCATCTAGATGATCTCTTCAGCAAACTGTTTTAAATAGGCTTAGCTAGTTAATTGTTTTATTGTAGATACATTTTTTCTAGAATTCAACATTTTGCTAGTAATATTTTGTATTGTACATTAAAATTCACATTCTTTTCCCAGGAATGGGAACTCAAAGTGTCATATAGCAGTATGAAATTATCATTGTTTAAGAAAGGGACCTTAGTGATCACTGAACCTAACTCCTCCTTTTATGGATGAGGAAACCTGTAGTGGAAGAGGGGTAATTCAAACCCAGGTCTTCTAACGTTAAAATCTGAAGTCCTTTCCATTGTACCAGCCCTGCCCTTTTTTCAGATTTCTTGGTGACAATTTTAGAAATCCTCTAGTAAGATTGAAGAGGTTGTTGGGGTGCTGGGACCTTGAGAATGCCAAGGCAGAGTTAACTGGAATGAATTCACACACTCAAGCCTTCTCTTAGTCAAGTGGCAAAAAGTTTATTTTAACTCTTTAGCAAAAGTGGGCAGGGGTCCTTATGGAACCCTCAAGAGACTGAGGATGGTGCTGAGGTTTATGTGGAAAAGAGGCATAGGAAAGGAATGCCAGGGATACTGATTAGGTAATCTAAGGGTCCGGGTGTCTTTGGGAGCTATGGGTGGAAAAGTGTAGGGAGTATACCAGACATTGAGGGAGTTGTCAGAGGCATGGAACTTGAGGATCTAGTTGGAGGGGGCAGCCAGGGACAAAAAACCTTGGGCCAGGCACCCCTTTGTCTGTCCTAATTAGAGAATGTGTTATGCAACAAGAGAAATTTTTCTCACAGGACAGGGCCCTACTGAAATTGGGAGGCTTCCAGAGACATGATCTTAGGGGTAGGGCCTGAGCACCCCATCAAGATCATCTATAGTCAATGTACACACTATTTTGTTTGCCTAGGTAAAACTATAACCATTAGAAAGTAGTTGATAGATTAAACTATGAATCAAAGGGCTTGCTGCCACATCTCCTTTGTGCAGCATTTCTAAGTACTCTTTTCTCTTCCCTTGGATTCTATGACACTGTATTCTTTTAGTTCTCTCTTTTACCTTTTTTTTTTTTTTGGTCTCTTACCTTTCTAATCATAGGAAAGGCATCTTGGTATAGTGGAAAGAGTACTGGTTTTTGTCAGCTTTATTGGCAACTGGGTGGCACAGTGGATAGAATACTGAGCCTGCAGTCAGGAAGACATTCAAATTTAGCCTTAGACAATTACTAGCTATGTGATCCATATGACCCTGGAGAAGTCACTTAACCTCTGTTTGCCTCATATTTCCAGCCTCATATTCCTCCATTGTAAAATGGGAGAATAGTAATAGAACCTACCTTGTAGTACCAAGGATAAAATGAGAGCCTGGCACATAGTAGGTACTATATAAATGCTTATTCCCTTCACCACCATCTTCAGAAGACCTGGGCTCATATCCTGCCTGTCACATATATCTTTGATTTCAATTTTCTCATCTGAAAAATGAGGGAATTGGACTAGATTACATTTGTCTGACTGAGGTCCTTTCCTGCTCTAAATTTTATTTCCAAGTTCTTCTTCTGTATGTGTACCAGACCATCTTAATTACACATATTCTCTCCTTTTTGACTTCACCTTTATGGTTTTAATGATCATCTCTGGATGAGTCCCATATCTATATCTAGCTGATAGCTCTCTCTGAGATTTAGTCCTACATTTCCACTTGCTTGCTGGATATCTCAACTGAATTGCACAAACATTTATTAAACATCTGATGTGTACACATCATTATACTTAGTCTCTGGGAGAGATGAAAAGATTATATGAGTTTTTCCTTCATGGTAGTAGTTAGAAGGAATGGATGAATGCTTTTGCCAAGCACTATGCCAAGTGCTGGGGGTGCAAATACAAAAGCAGTGGCCATTTCCATCCTCAAGGAGCTTACATTTTAATGGAGAAGATAACACAATTAGAGGAGTGGTGGCCAGGGAAAGGTTAGAAATTACCTAGATCATGGTTAGCTAATTTTTTTCTATAAAAGACTAGATAGTAAATATTTTAGGCTTTGTGAACCAAAAGACAAAATCAAGGATATTATGTAGGTACTTATATAATAAAAGAGAAAACATTCCCACAAATTTTTTATTGATGAAATTAAAAATATTATAATAATTGAGTACAATTTTCTTATAATATGAATCTACTAGGGAGAAGAATGGAATTCTTTTGGGGAGGATAATATACTTAACTGGGGTTCAGAGTTACTGTTACCTATCATCAAAATCAATTAAAAATAAACATTTATTAAGGACTTACTGTGTACTCACTCACTGTTCTAAATGCTGCAGATACAAAAAGAGGCAAAAGGTAGCCCCTGACCTCAAAGAGTTTATAATCTATTGGGGAAGACTACATGTATATATATAAATAGGGATATTATTTGGGATAAATAGGAATAATAAACAGGTTTATATGTTAGCAGGGAATTAAGAGGGGTTGGAAAAGACTTCCCGTAAAAAATGGGATTTTAGTTGGGACTTAAAGGAAGTCAGAAAAGCCTGTAACAGGTGGAGATGAAGTAAAGGATTTTAAACTTGGGGGATAGCCGGAAAAAATGCCAGGAGCCAAGAGATGGAGTATCTCGTTCATGGACCAGCAAGGATTTATTTCAGTGTCATGGGGTGAAGAGTATGTGGTGTGGGAGAAAGATGTAAGAAGACTGGAAAGGTAGGAGGAGGCTAGGTTATAAAGGCTGACGATGCCAAATAGTATTTTGTATTTTATTCTGGAGGCAATAGGGAGCCACTGGAGTTTGAGTAGGAAGGTGATGTGCACTTTAGGAAAATCACTTTGATGTCTGAATGGAGGATGATTGGAGTGGGGAAAGACTTAAGGCAAGCAGAAACACCAGCAGGCTATTGTAAGCTTAAGGTGATAAGGCCCTATCCAGAAAGGTGGTAGTGTTATAGGAGAGAAGGGGACATATTGAAGAGGTGTTAAAAAGTGAAATCTGGGGCCTTGACAACAGATTGGACATGGGGGTGAGGGATAATGAATAGTCAAAGATGACACCTAGGTTTCAAGCTGAGGGACTGGGGGATGCTATTAGCCTCTACAGTAAAAGGGAAGTGGGTGGGAGGGAGGGGGGAGATGATGAGTTTGTTTTTAGACATACTGAGTTTAAGATGTCTACTGGCCATGCAGTTCTAAATGCCTGAAAGGCTATTGGAAATTAGAGGTTGAAGGTCAGCAGAGAGGTTGGGGGGAGGGGGGAAGAATAGGTAGAATTGAGAATCATCAGCATACAGATAGATGGTAATTAAATCCATGGGAGGTGATGAGATCACCAAGTAAAGTGGTATAGAGGGAGAACAGAAGAGGGTGCATGTACTACCTACAACTTGATTGAAATAGAAACAGCACTGGATCACAGGAAAGTTTCATAGAATAATATTTGAATAGTACTTTAAAATTGGAGACAT